TCCAGATTCTGTTTGGGGATCAAGGGGAGGCACTCCACACCCTACAAGAGTGGTAGGCAACAGTGGTAAGCAGCTGTGTGCATCCTGACCTGGGTGGCAGGCTGGGGTGGGCAGGAGCCAACAGTGAGTGACAGCTGGCAGTAGCAGGTTCGTCCCACCCAGCACAGTGCCCATACTTCCTGTGGAGTTAAGATTTTGACTGCAGTCGTTCACTGGGGCTGTCTGAGCCTGGCTGCTAATAAGCTCTTTATGCACACGTTCTTCTCTGAGTGCAGAGGGCTCTGGGGTGAAAGGGACAGAACAGCAGCAGGGAGGATGAGGAGAGGATGTGGCTATCAGCTGGAGCAGGGAGAAGGAGCAGCAACCTAGTATGGGCCATATTAGGATGGAGGGTCTCATCTCCTGGAGGGCTAGGGCAAGAATGGCAGGAGCGGGTCTGGAAATGTGGCTCAAGTGGTGGAGTACCTGCCTACCATGCATGAAGCCCTGAGATCAAACCCCAGTGCTGCCAAAAAGAAAAAAAAATAGTGGTAGTAGCTGAGGCAGGGGTTATGGAGCTGAATGGTCACAGCCTCTGGGGCTGGGGTCTTTGGGATTCTCCATCCCACATATCTCAGACCATCCTGCGCTGGAGGTGTCCACGGCCCAGTGAACTGTTCCTTCTCATGCACCTGCTGTGTGCCACTGGAGGCCCATCAGCTGGCTTAATGGCATCCCTCCCAGGAAGCCATTCCCATCTTGCTGGTGAGGAACCCAAGGCTCAGAGAGAGGAACAACTCATTCAAGCGATAGAGCCTGGTCTTTAGCAGTTATGCCCTCTCCATCTTCACAATTGAGAGTGTGGTTGAATGTCAAGTTGGTAGGCACAAAGAAAGCAGCCTTGGTCCAGGAGGGGAAGGAAGTCTTTGGGGGCTGCAGGGATACAGAGACTTCCTGGAATATCAGGAGGTTAGGCCTAGTGTAGCCCAGAGAGGGAAGGACAAATCCAAGCTTGGCCTGGGGGCCCTATGGGGTCCCAGTGGGCAAGAACAGATTTGAAGGGCAGTATAGAGCTGCCTCTGCTCAGAACTCCTGGGTTCCCCCCTCCTCCCCTGCTTGGTGACCTCTGTGACTTCCATTCTCCCATGTTGAGCCTTTGTACAAATGAGCAAAAAACACCCCTTTTGCCACTTGACTGCCATCTACCAGATAATTGTCATCACAAATCTGCACATGCATGGAGACCATGATGAGTGTGCTTCTGAGTGTGGTGCAGGGCAAGACTTGTTCAGCCATATGCAGGGGTCCTACTGAACCCCAAGATGTTGGAACATACACCTCTGCATCGTGCAGGCTGAGAGAGATGGGGAGAGCCGGTACCACTGTCCCTCTGGTATGGCAGTGGCCTCGAGAGGCTATGGGAGCAGTGAACCTGCTGCACAAGCCAGGAGCAGGGCCAGATTGGCTTGTTAATGGGCAGAGTGGGCACAGGGCTTTGTCTTCCATAATGTGCCCTGACAAGGACCATTAGTGCCATTTGGAGCCTCTCTCTCAGCAGAGCTGCTCCACAGGCCACTTCCTCCTGTCAGCTTCTCTCCTCCCCTCTTTCCTTTCCTCCCCCTTCCCCTTCCTTCCAGCCCCTGCCACTCAGTTTTTCCTCCCATTGTTCTTAGGTTGGCCCAGCTGCCTCTCTACTGCCCTCCCTTCCCCACTGACTCCCTGCACTGGGGCCTCTTCATCCCCATCTACAGGCTGCTGTGGCTAGGTGGCCGCTGCTTCTTAGGCACTTTAATCCCTAGGTCCCCCAGCCCCAGCTCCAGTTCTGAAAATGGGGTTCCTAGTTCCTTGGTGCTGATATCTGGCTTCCTCCCTGCCAACTCTAATCTTGTTACCTTGGCTGTTCCCGGGGTGTACCCCCTTATTCTTCCCCTGTCGTGCTCTGTCCCATTGTAAGAATCTGGCCAAGTGAAGACAACAGCCTGGTGGGCACAGGACTGCTGGCTGCTGTGGAGCCCAACACTTGTAACATCTATAATCTTGATCTTCCTGGCCACCTCTCAACATTGCCCCAGGTCCTATGTCACACTATGTCACTGGACATAAGTCTGTACCTGCTGCAGGCTCTTTATACTCACCACTTCCAGGCTACTTGCCTGGGACAAACCTCATCCTGGGCCAAAGTTACCCTCAGCCTAGGCCCCTGGCCCCTTGAAGATCTTTGTCTGCTGGTCAGAGGCACAGAGGCCTTTCCCTGCCCTACCCTGAGGGCAGATAGCACCCAGCACTGCCAGGCTGGATCCATAGAAGACTAAGTACTCTTTTGAAGGGTGGGGTGGGGTATGAAGTGAAATCTCTCCTGGGTGGACATTGTCAAGCCAGGGCAGGAGAAAGGTGCTTCCTCACCTATCAGATGGTTATCAAATCTTTCTTTAACTCTTCCACCACCTGGGTATGAAGCTGCCTGGCTCTTCCACGCACTTATGCACAGCGGGGAGACCCACACCTGGAGACAGTTATGGACCTGCAGGCTCTGTGCCAGGACTGAGGGAGTACAGGGATGGTAGGAACCCTGGGGAGATGGGGTTCCTCTATGACACAGGATGAGGGCCCCTTGCAGGGAGGAGGGGGCTTCCTATGCTTCAGAGGAAGGATGTGGAGGATGGGACCCACGTGAAGGCTGGGGACCTGGTGAGAACTACAGGTGACTCAGTGCATGGCGCGTGAGTCCACATTTGGGGCTATGGGTACAGATGTTACCCTGGGCTGCATCTGGGATAGGCTGTGGAGTCTGCAGAGATGCTCAGGCCAGTGGGGTCTTCGCACAGGGGCATGACATGACCAAAGGGGAGTGAGTCTGGGGACATGGCCCACTCTGTGGGAGACCCAGATATTAAAGCTGGCCTGAGACCTGCCAGCTGTACTCTGCAGGAAATGGGGGCTATTATAAGGAACAAAATAAGAATTTGAGGCAGCAAGAGAGACAGCAGAACTGGACCTGGGGTGCTTGCCAGTGTCTCTCCTGGGGTGGTGGAGAGATGGCACCAACTCTGACATGGTCTTGTGGACCAGCTCCACAACCTAGTTGCAGCAAGCAGGACTGAGCACACCCTGTCTCAGTCCAGCTGTCTTCCAGTGGCTCCCGGGGTTGTTCCTCCAGGAGGCATCCAGCCTGCCATATGCTGAGCTAGGGGTTTCCCATGCCTGAGCAGCACTGGGCTGACTGTGCCTGGAGCTGGACCTCATGCACAGACACAAGCAGCCTTCTGTCAGAGAAGCTGTCCCCAACCCAAACTTGCTTGAAAGACTGGGTTTTGGGAGATTGTCACCTCATCTCTGTTTATGTACAAAGTGGGGTCAGGCAAAGCAGCCCAGCCTTGCATATGACCATGAGTTGTGGCAGCCACTCACCCAAGCATGGGTCACCAACTTGAGTGAGTCACCTGGGCAGGAAGAATGCCAGCGTTATGGAGTCACAGGTCCTCAGGGTTAAGGGCCTCTCCTGCACTCTGGAGGGAGGCAGAAACCTGGCTACTTGCCACACTGTGTTCAGAGGCTTGATCTATACTATCTCACTTAATCCTTCCCTCAGCCACAGGCTATCAGCGCTGTGATTATACTCGTTCACAAAAGAGGAAACAGACACGGAGGGGTTAAGTAACCTGCCTGAGGTCACATAACTTGTAAGTGGTGGATAGGGATGTGAGCTTCCAGGGCAGTCTGGCTCCAGATGCTGTGGCTCTCTCTGGGAAGCATGGATGGAGGTTCTGGGTAGTGCAGAAACTGCTCCTCCCCTTCTTGCACCCTCCTGCACACAGTCATCAATGCTAATGAAGTGGAGGTAGCCTCAGTCTCAGTCCTGGTTGGACCCACGTCATCTGAGGGCACAGTCACTTGAGTAAGTCAGGTTTGAATGTAAAGACAGAGGTACAATAATGCCATGGAGCACAGAGAGGGCATGAAGGTGTAGAGCAGAGTTCAGAAAGGCTCTCCAGAGGTGACATTTGAGCTTACTCCAAAAGCAAATGGCATGTGAGAGAACAAACCCTGGGGCAGTGGTCCCTCCCAGTTAAGGAAACTGGTTGGAGGATGAAACTGGAAGGTCAGGGGCCACATGCAGAAGGGTGTCCCTGCTTGACTGAGCAGTGAGAAGCCATGAAGAGGTTAAACTGGGACTGGTCAGCACAATGGCTCTGGAATGGCTGTCCTGAGTGAGAGAGAACCCCCAGGGGAGGCTGCTCAGAATTCTCTCCATGCTGAGCTCTCCCCAAGGCTACTGATTGGTTCTGATGACAGACAAGGGAGGGGTATAGAAGCAAGGAAAAGCCAGGGGGCTCAGATGAAAGGAAGGGCCTGAGGACGAGCCCAGTCCTCTAGAAGTTGTGGTGGTAGGATCTGTGTTCCCCCAGCCCTTCCCACCTGGAGACAGAGGGGCAACCTGACCTAGCCTTGAGGTACCAGTGCCCAGTGGAAGACACTGCACTTCTTCCAGTCTAGAGGCTAGGGCACTGGTCCTTAATTCTTCACTAACTTGCTGTGTGACTTGGGCAAATTGCTTAGCCTTTCTGGGCTTCAGTATTTTTATCAGTAGGATGGAGGTAGAGAAAAACTGCTTTGTGAGGATCAAATAAGTGAGGTATGTGACTTCACAGAATACAGGTCACCATCCATGTGAAGATTTTGGAGGGGACAAAGCCTCTGTTTCTAGGGACTGTTGCCAGAAGCGTGTGTGTGTATGTGTGTGTGTGTGTGTGTGTGTGTGTGTGTGTGCGTGTGTATGAGAGTGTGTGCATGGGTGTGTAGGAGTAATCACAAGAACAGGGGATAGATGCATACTGGAAAGGCCTCAGGCTATAGCAGAGCTCTGTGATATTGGACAGGTGACTTCCTCCCCTGAATCTGGGTTCCTCCTCAGTGCCAAGCAAGCAATAATCCTGCCTGGGGAGGAGGAGGAAGACCTGGAGGGAAGTAACCTGAGGGGTGCCTCTGGCCCTACTGACCCTCTCCTTCTCCCCTGCCTCCAGTGGGAGCGCCTCTGGTTTCTACTGCTCACCTTCACCTTCGGCCTCACGCTCACTTGGCTCTACTTCTGGTGGGAAGTCCACAACGACTACATGAATTCAACTGGTGAGTGGGGGCTTGGAACGGAGTGGGTGGGGAGGGGGCTCCAGTTTGAACTTCTCATCCTGGTTAGCCTTCAAAGCCTATGTCACCAACTACCCGTGTGACTTTGAGTCAGGCCACCCTGGCAGCCTCTGTCATGCCTACCTGCAAGATTTGGTGGTAGAGAAATCACAAGCTGGCAAAGGCAGATGAAGAGAAAGAGACCCAAGCCTGAGCATGTCCCCCTGGGAATTCAGGAAGGCTTCCTAAAGACTTCAGGAGATGGCATGGGAGCTGACCTTAAAGGACCCATATGGGTGACAGCCTGCATTAACAGCCTGAATTGGTGTGAGAGGCCCTGAGAGAATGGGGGCAACAGAGCTGAAGCCCGTCAGGGAGACAGGGACACTACCTGGTGCTGGGCCATGGAGGACAGGACTGGAAGGCAGGGCACCATCTAGATGGGGCTAGGCCCAAAGTTCTTATCTCCCTTTGTAGGTAAGCACTTCAAGGCCTTGGCAGATGAGGCAGTGCCCTGTCATGGGAGTTAGGCCTCCTAACTCCTGTTGCTGGCCCTGGCACAACTGGCAGGTCCATGTCTGGGACAGCTCCTCCTCCTTTAGGGTCATCTCAGGTCCAAGGGCAGGACTGTCTGAGGCAGGTACTTGGGTGCTGAAGAGCACCTATTTCTTCCTCCTCCCCCTCCATATGGCCCTTTGCTACACAGTGAAAGGCCATGGGAGGAAGAGAAGACCTTGGGTTCTTTCTAGTGGGCAGGTTTGGAAACTGAGACCTAAGGTCACGTGACCAATCAGGGGCAGTTAGGGCTTACTCACTCCCCACCCTGTGCTGACCAGGTCAGGTCAGTGTGACTTGGAGCAAACCTGTGGCACTCTCTGAGCACTTTATTCCTTTGTAAGATGGGGTAACTCTGACCTCACCAGGTTGTTCTGAGGATAAGATGGCCTGATGGATATGGAAGGGCTCAGAGCTCCTCCCAGACATGAGCGCTGCTTCCCAGAAGACTGAGTTGCCAGCTGGGAGAAGGATAAGATATTTGAGTACGGATTCCTAGAATTTGGCCTCTGATGCGTTTTGGGATTCTGTGAGAATCCTGGCCACCATTATTAATGAGCACAATAAAGGATATGCCATGTCCCACTCCTGCCCTACAGCTCCAGCCAAGTCCCAGAGGTGGCCTCTGGGCTTTATTAAATGTCATAAATCAATTATTCATCCTTGCAGGGGTCTGTAGCACGGCACTACTGTGAGTAAATTGGAACATTCCTTGCTGGCTCTCACTGGCAGACCCTAGATGGTTCTGCTGAACTGGAAGATGGGGAAGTGAGGCCCAAAGGGGCACGGGACTCATCCATGGCCATAGAACCAATCAGTGCTGAGGACACATGTAGAGGGCAGTCTGAGGAGACTGGACTCAGGGAGGTTAAAGAGCCTTTGCAAGGTCACCCAGAAAGAGACAGCTGGACCTGTGATGGGGACTTGAGCGTGACCAACTGTATCACATTATTCATGGAGCCTCCCTGCTCTTCCCAAAAGATCCCCTTGTCCCTGGGAGACTTGGCAGAAGATAAGCATCTGTCATGTTGAGGAGGTGACCTGCTTGGGATTCAGGGATACCTGGGACTTGCAGCTCCTTTGTCTGCCACCTGTTTCTTGGAGGCCTGGTCCTGGAGTTCAGGAAATCCTGACTCTGACCCAGCCCTCATGGTCTTGAGAGCCTGTTAGCTGTCTGCATGCTGTGAAAGGATGTGAACAAGATTTAGGATATCAGCGTTGAACAAAGAGGGGTGAGGTGGCCGGGGTGGGGGTGGGGGAAACACCTGGGCTGTTGCTGTCCTAGAGGTCTCAGCTAAAAAATGACTGTGCTTGACAGACAAGTAGGCCCTGAATGCTTCAGTTGTAGCTACCAGGAGCAAGTCTTGCCCTTCTTTGGGCCTCAGTTTCCCCAACTGTGTGATAAGATGAGTGCACTAGTTGACCTTCTAGGTAATAACTCTTCCTCTAGACTCTGAGAGTGAGGCCCCAGGGAATGAGGGAGGGAGGGCACTCTTGGGGTCCTCCTTGTATCCCCTCCCAGCCTTCTGCCAGGCCAAGATGGCTGCAGACTGAAATGGCCTGGCACCAGCTCTGATTCTCTAATGACCTCGAGCAAGTTGTTGCCTCCTTTGAACCTTAGTGTTTCTAGCTGTACAAGGAGAATGTAAGTGGTTCTGTCTCTCTGGACAGCAGCTAAGCTATATCCCTCAGGAGCCTTAAGAAGTCATTGCCTTTGCCCCTATAATCCCTGCTTATAGGAATCTATGCTAAGGGAATAATCAGAAATACAAAAAGATATGTTTTTTTTTTTTCATTTTTGTGTCAGTTTGTAACAGTGACTCATTGGAAATCATGAGGTATCATTAATAGGAAGTTGGCTATATATGGTACATGAACTCAATAGAAGACCAAGTGGCTGTTTAAAAAGATCACATTTCCTCAGCAATTTTATTGACATCAGTTAAGTGTTTGTGTTAAGATGAGTTTGTTGAGTTCTTACCATGTGGCTCTCCTTCCTTCATCCTCTCAAAACCCTTATCCCCGTCCTACCGTGGGAGAGACTAAGGCCCAGAGAAGACAGGTGTTACAGTTTATCAGTTCCAAGGCCCCATACTTTCACATTCTAACATAGAAATTGAAGTGAATGTCACAACCAAGGGCTTTTGGAATCAGTGAAGTCTGTCATCTCCACAAGGCCCCAGCAGGAGGCAAATAGAGATTGGAGCCAGCCAGGCTCCTCACCCAATGCCACAAGACCACTCTCCTGTGTGCAGTAGGTCCTGGCTTTGCTGTTCACACAGGGACCCATGGGAAGGAAACCCAGAGGTCTTGGTAACAGTTACTTCTGGGCAGTACGATGGTGGGAATTGTTCTTTTCTTCTTCATGCTTCTTGGTCCCTAGGTGTCTATCAGGAGCGGGCATGACCGAGGGTGAGGGAAACTCCAAGTGCTGTTATGGTATGAGCAAGGCCTGGTTGCCCAAGCCTGGCCTGTGGTCTGCCCAGCTGTGGCTGTGTGAGAGCTGAGACTGGCTCCTGGGCCAGGCAGTGGCCTGGTGGAGGTCTGACCCTGCCTTTTCTCCTCCTGGCAGGTACCTCTACAACCGCATGGGCTACTGGAGTGACTGGTCCGTGCCTATCCTCATGACCACAGCCGCTGCTTTCACGTACATCGCAGGTCTCCTGGTATGGAAGGTTGTCATGGATGGCAGGTGGCCCTCCTCCTAGGGAGAGGGAGGCTTGGCCTGTGCCTGACTGGTGAAGGGGCCTATGCTCTGCCCATGGCCCCTGAGGCTGCTGCTTGGGCCTCCAAGGCAGGAGATCATGTTTTGCCAGTCTCCTTCAGTTGCCCCCCTCCAGAAAGTCCCCCGGCCAGCCCAACAAGGGCCATCCAGGCTTTTAGGGGTCACAGACATCTTCCAAAACTCAGCTTTGGGTTCCTGGTCTGAATATTCTACTAATTGAGACTCAAGTCAACCGTATTCTGGGCTAGGGGCTCCTTGCAGACAGAGGTCAAGTCTACTTCAGAATCCCAGAGCATGGAACTTCCAAAACCTTTGATGAATTAAGTTGGGCAGTCCAAGTGCAGCAGGACTTAGTGACCTCTTGGAGAAATCCCCAGGGGAGGAGCCTCAAGTAATCTGGAAGGAGGCCAGGCCAGGCAGGCTGGGCATTCCTATTGCCTGCAGGGAAGGCTTGCTGACTTCTTGTCCCAGGGCAAGAGTGTGAAGCAAAGTGGTGTCTGGGGAGCAGGTGAGGCTTTCTAGTCCCACACAGCCTGACTGCCACCCTGGCCCTCCCCAGGTCCTGGCATTATGTCACATCGCTGTGGGGCAGCAGATGAACCTCCACTGGTTGCACAAGGTAAGGGGGCTGCTCGGCTAGGGCTGGGGAGGGAACTAGAGAGGAGGCCATGCAGCAGGAGGAGGAGCTTAAACACAGTGTTCCTATCCTGGATTGTGGCTGTAACTGTGATAATGGTTCTCGCCAAGCACTGGCTGTACCAGGCACTATCCCTGCAGCCTGGCCCACTTTTAACTCACTTGGCCTTCACCACAACCCTATAATGTAGGCACAGTCACCATCCCACTTTGAGGGAGGAAAACCCTAGGTACAACGAGGTTCACTAGCAGGCCCAAGGTCTCCCAGTTTGTGAGTGGAAGGTCCTGGATTCTGGCTCAGTAGCCATATGCTTCACCAACATAGGTCACAGCTCATATTGGAGCCCTGGCCACTGGCTGCCCTCACCTTCCTCTCTGCTCTTCAGTGAGCTCTTTTTAAAACCGTGTTTGGGTGATGTCATTGCCTCTTTCCCAACTCCCATGGCTCCCAGGATGACCCAGATACCCCCACCTGCCTTAATCTGGCCCTTCCAATGTCTCTCTGCTCCTGTCATGGGACAGTCACCCTCAGTTTCTGCTTCATGAGACATCTGTGGCCCTCCCAGTATGCCTGCCTTTTCTCTGCTTTTAGCTCCTTGCTCTTGACCTTGTTTACTCACTCTTTTGGCCCCTTCCATGCTACCTCACCTAGGTAAGCAGCCTTCTCTCAGAGGGAGGGACTTCTGCCCAGCTCCCACACCTCCTCTGCTACATATCCAGGCATCTGTGCTGTCAATTTCCATCAGGCTCCTGTCCCAACCTATACCAGCCTAGACCTCCTTGCAGGCTAGGTTGGCACTGATGACCTCACCATCCCAATGCTGCACTTAGGGCTGGGCCCAGGGCAAGCAGGCTTCATTATATGAAGCCAGAGCCTTTGCTGACTCACCATTCCTTGCACACTTGTGCTGAGTATAGGTTTCTGATGCCTGTTCTGCAAGAGCAGAGGCACAGGGTGATACAAACCTGACCAAGACAGAGCTCCAGGAGCACCCAGGCCATAGTAGGGGAGCTGGGACATCTCTGGAGCCTGGCTCACAATGGGTATGCATTTAGGAAGGGGCAGAAGTGTCCAGAGACAACCATGAGCTAGTGTGATGGGTCCAGAATGACTTCAAGGCAAAGGATTTACTTCCAACTAGAAGGGGGACAGGGAACAGAAAGAAGAAGAGGGACTGGGTGAGTTTGGGTTGGGTTGTGGAGTGGGAAGTGCCTGTAAGTATGCAGGGGGCATCGAGGTCATTTAATTACAAAGTCTGGAGCTGGGCCAGACCCATGTGACTAAAGTCTTACACGGAGCTGCCCCTGCTCTCATCCCTCTTTCCTCTGGCCGGTCACTATATCCTGAGGTTTCATTTGGGCTTCTGCATTCCCCTCTGTGAGCCACTTTCTTCTCCCAGCTGCAAAGCTGGTACTTGAAAGAACTGCAACAGCTGGCACCCACGGCGGGGGCTGGCACACTCTGTGGTTACCTCCTGGGGCCATACCTGGCTCTCAGCAGGTCAAGTCACACCTGTTTGATCTAGTAGAAGGGCTTATAGAGTCCCTGAGCCAACTGGAGGTCGCAGATCAATGTAGGAAGTCAGATTCCTCCATTCCAGGAGGCCAAGCCATCCTTCCTCTTTCCCTGACCCCTCCTGTGAGGTCACAGCCAGGCTTCCTGGGTAGGCCTCACTGGGTAATGTGTGGCCAAGCCTAAAACACACCATGGCCCACAAGGGCTAGTTGATTTCTTGGCCCTTGCCAATCTGATGGGTGAAAAATGGTTCCTCACCATATAAATCTGCATCTCCCTTACATTGAGTTAGATTTGGTATTTTTCACAGACCTGAGTCATTGCTATTTTCTATCAACTGTCTCCTTATATCTTTTGCCCTTTTCACCATGGGATTTGCTTTCTGCTTATTAATTTGCAAGAGCTCTTTATAGATTTGGGAAATTGGCCCTTTGGCTAGTGAACTGCTGATAATTTTTCCTAGTTTGTCATTGACCTTTTGACTTTGCATATTGTATTTGTGCCATAGGGAATTTTGTATTCCTAAGAACTTGAATATGTCATCTCTTTTCATGGCCTCTGGGTTTTGTGTCAGACTTGGAAATGTCTTTCCCACTCCAAGATTATACAAAATTTCTCTGTGGTATCATTTGGTAATTATGTTTTTACTTTTTGGCATTTAAATTCTTTATCTTTCTGGAAGTTATTTTAGGACATGGTGTGATCTTACTTAGCTCTTTTTTAGATGACTTCCAACGTAACCAGCTGTCCACACTGAGCAATCCATCTTTTCCCCTCAAATATGACAGAGATGCTGCTTTGTCATATGCCATATTTTTAAATGTATTCAGATGTATTCCTGAACTTTTTGCTTACTTTCACTAGTCTCCTGGTCTTATACCGGTATCATGTTGCTTTGAGGGCCACACTTTCATGGCATGTTTTTGCCATGACCTGTATTTTGAGGCCCTGTCTTCCCTAAGTAGTGAGGAGGGGATGAGAGAAGAGCTCAAGACTGGGTAGGAGGGAACCACCTAAATTGGGCCTAGTGCTGTGAGTGGATTCGGGGACCCCCTTAGGGACTGTCTTGTCTCCCAGAAAACCCTGCCAGGTGATCTCTAGGAGAAGTCTAGAGGCTAGGGTGTGGGGCTTTGTGATAAACAGGTAGCCTCTCCCTGAGATGTGTCTCCTGCCTTACCCCCTACCCAGAACCTGCTCAGATGCTACAACTGAGAGGGGCTGCTCACAGCTCCCACCTCCCCAGCCAATCCGTTGTAGCCTGAGCTTACCCAGCAGTGTGTTCCCAGTGTGTACCTCACCACAGGGACAGCAGCAGTGGCCCAGGGACTGCATGGAGGAGGAGAGCTCTGTCAGAGACTCAGCCTGAGGGCTGGAGAGAGCACCAGGGTCCTCACAGCCACAGGGGGTGCCCAGGCTGGGTGGGGACCCCAGTCAGAGCATCTGGGTGAATTCTGTCTTCTCTCCAGCAGCTGGCCCAGGCAACAGTTCTTTCTGGCTTGTACCTCTGTCCCTTCAGCTATGCTCATGGAAGGCACATTTTAGTGCCTCCTGCATGCCAAGCCTGTATTCATCACAACAGCATTAACCAGCACTTACTGGGCACTGACTGTATGCATTGGCACTGCATATTACTCACTCCTCACCATTATCCTGTTTTGTTGTGGTCATATCTAGGAAGCATTTCCTTATGATGGCAGCCATAGTGCTAAGCAATGCACTTGCATTTTCTCATTAATGAGCCCCAAACCCCTCCATAGGCACTCACTATCCCCGTGTGCCTGCTCAGGGAAGACCCCTGGAGATGGTACTCTCCCCTTATGTAGCAGATTTGACCAGGAGTGTGGCTCTTCCCCCTGGGCCAGCTGACCCAGAAGCCACCCGCCCCCCCAAGAAGCCCACCTGTTGCATCTCTGCAAGACTGGGTTCCAACCCCTCCCTGGCCCTTAGTGCCCAGGTGAAAGTCACTGAATGAATGAATGAATGAATGAGTAAATGAACACACATCCCTCTACATCCTACATCCCTCCATTGACATCACATCCCACAGCTCAGCAGGACAGAGAACTCAAGACCATGTTCTTAGAGGACAATGGTCTGCCTCAGGCCTCCCTGTAGATCCATCTCCTAATTAAGGAGTGTGGGGGGGGTCACACTGTTGCCAGCCAATGCTGTTTCTGTGGCTGAAGGACACAATGGGGAGGAAGTGCCACACTGAACTCTCAATAATACTGCAGAGCATGATGGGTACCACTGCAGCAACTATAAAACTCAGAGGTGATGAAATTTTAATTGTATTAGGATTATGAGGAATCAGTTTTATTGCAAGTATTTCCACTGGCAGTTACATGCTGTAATAAGATGCTCTCAGAAACAGTCCTTCCGAGGTGCCCACTCTCTCCCACAAGCACAAAGTGGTAGATATGTGCCTCGAGAGGCAGCCTGGGTGCTAAGGAAGGGGCTTTTGGGCACTGTTAGGAACTCCCTGAGCCCCCCAGAGGCTCCTCAGCATCTGTGATAGCAGTCTGATCTCTGAGACAGGCAGAGGGGTCTGTTTCTGGATCTGCCCCATCAAAGCTATGAGACCTAACAAGCAGAGCCCATGTCCCACTGTGTAAAATGGAAATGATAAGGCCTCACCCAGGAAGTTGGGAGAGAACACCTGAAGACCTCCTGAAGTGCCCGCACAGACCCAGGCACACCTGTGTTCCCTCATCTGCCCTGGTCTCCAAGCCTGCATATGGCAACCTGTAAAGGCCCTCACCTATCTGAGGGCTGTTACTGTTTCTTAGGGGGATATTTGTTTCCAGGCTAATGGTGAATAACAAATCTCCAAAGGAAAACTTACCCCCAGGGTAGCAGGGAGCAAAGTCAGGCAGGCCTCTGTCTCTGCCGTCACTTCTAGAAAGTCCCCTCTGCCCTTGCTTAGTGGTTGAGAGTCTCAGAGTGCTGCTAGTGCCTGCCTGAGGATCCTGATAACAGAAAGAAAGCCCAAGGGAGGCAGCAAGGCCCAGAAGTGCCATGGGAAACCCTCTAAGAAGTCAGAGGACAGGATGTAGTGACCTTTCAGGGAGTGGGGCCCACAGAGGTTGGAGTTGAGATGAGAGGGCTATGCAGAAAGGCCTGGCACTTTGAGGAGGGTGCACGCACAAAGGTGGAAGTAGCAGGACACGTCAACTTAGTTTCACTTGGTTTTGGGGTCTCAGATGCCATCCACCCCCACATATCTTGGTCTCATGAAGGTGCCCCTTGCCTTCCTTACTTTCTGCAGAACACATTAGAAGCTAGATGTTGGGGGACCAGGGTTGGCAAGTCTTGGAGCTGGGGCAGCGGGCAGGGCCTTGCCCACTGCTCATTCCTAATAGAAGTGTCACTGTGAGTGTAGCCCCCTGTGCACCAGGTTCCTGCCCTACAGTCTAGGCAAGGTAGTTTCCTCATCTGCTGTACCAGGTTGGACAGACCCAGGGAGTCCCTTAGCAGGGTGTCTTGCCAGCCTCCTTTTGTCTTCTCTCCACCCTCCCTTCTATTTCTTGCTGTCACTTCCTTGTGGGGTCTGTCTGCCCCTCCTGTGCTCCTTGCCCTCTGCCTGTCCCTGGCTGCTTTCAGTCCATGGGCCAGTTTTTCCTTCCTCCCTCTTCCCTGCTTCATATGTCTCTCCTGCTCCCTCCACCTCTCCTGTGTCTGTCTCACAGGCTCCCCTTCTGTCCTCCCTCTCAGGCACACTGGGGCCCCTCACCCCACTCTAATCCTCTGTCTGGTGCTTCCCTCTTCCAGATTGGGCTGGTGGTCATCCTGACCTCCACAGTAGTGGCCATGTCAGCAGTGGCCCAGCTGTGGGAGGACGAGTGGGAGGTGCTGCTGATCTCCCTGCAGGTGAGTGGGGTAGGCTGCTTCCCCAGCAACCTTACATCAGGCAGCACTTAAAAAAAAATTCATGCAAATTATCAGCTGATGTGTCAGATAAGAATCTTATTATTAGTAGTAATATTGTTATTATTTTTCTGGGGATCAAACCCAGTGCTTTGCACTGTTAGACAAGTGTTCTACCACTGAGCTACACCCTCAACCCCCAGGCAACACTTTTTTTTTCTTATTGCTCCTGTATTTGCATTCCAGGGCCCAGAGAGGGATAGGGAGGGGTCCCAGGTCACACAGCAGGTCAGAAGTGGGGAGAGTGCTACAACCCAGGGTCTCTGGGTTCCCAGTATCTTCAGCTGCTACAAATGGAGATAGGGTTGACTGTCCTGTAGGAGGAGGTCAGCACACTGGTGACCTGGGGGTCTAGGCATGGTTGAGAGTCCCAGGACCCTCTTACCTCTCCCCACATACACAGGGCACAGCACCATTCCTGCACATAGGGGCTCTGGCAGCCATAACTGCTCTCTCCTGGATCGTGGCTGGACAGTTCGCCCGTGCAGAGCGATCCCGTGAGTACTACTGCTCAGGGCTCACCCCTCCTGACTAGCCAGTTTGGGCTGCCCCCACCTGGACACTACCTGGGTGGCCTGGGGATGAGGTGAGGCTCACACTCCACATGGGGGCCTGCCTCAGAGAGATGCTCCTGTGGCTTGTACCTCGGTCAGTCTTGCACTGTATTCCTGCTCCAATCCCCATGTCTGTGTGGGCATATGTGCTGAAACACGGGCCACCCCTCCAAGCACAGGGGTCCTGCATCCCACCCTGGCCACCCAGGACTTGAGGTTGGGCCTGGCCAGAGCTGAATGGCTCACGGGAGGTGCTCATGGCCTGTGTCTACAGCCTCCCAGGCAACCATTCTCTGTACCTTCTTCGCCGTGGTCTTTGCCCTCTACTTGGCTCCTCTTAGCATCTCCTCTCCCTGCATCATGGAGAAAAAGGATCTGGGCCCCAAGCCTGCCCTCATTGGCCATCGTGGTGCTCCTATGGTAAGTGTCACACAAGGGTCTTCACAGCCCGGGTAGGGGTGGGTACAGCTTCTGTTCCAGGGGAAGGTCTTTACTGGTAAGTGGATGTAATACGTGTAGTGTAGTAATAAGAATAGTTCTTTGCTTTTGGGGGAGGTTTGGGAAGGCCTGGTGTGAAGGACTGGTGTGCAGAGAGCCTGGATGGGACCAGATCCCAAAGAGCCCCGAGTCATCTTGCTAGAAAGATTTAACTCATTCTGAAGCACTGGAGGTTCAGGAGGGTTTTTGGCCCCACCCCGCCACTGTCAGTTCTCTGGGTCAGAAAGGCCAGGAGAGAGCTGCTGGGCAAGAGGCCTGGGGCTGTGGCCAGATGGCAGGAGACCCACCAGGCAGTTGGGGAGAGAGCTGGGACACAGCTCAGAGAAAACTGTCCAAGGCAAAGCAGTTGAGCCGGACAGAAGAGGAGGGAGAGGACAAAGTCAAAGTCAGCTCTGGGTCCTGCCACTGAGATGCTGAGAGGACAGACTTCAGAGCCTAGCTGCCTGGGCAGGAGCTGGGCCTGGCTGCTGGCTAGTTGTGAGAGATGGATGGATTCTGTCTTCCCTATACCTGGTTCTCTCCTGTGCCATGGTGACAGCAAGAGTGCCTGCTGCGGGGTGTGAGAAGCAGGAGGCAGCACAGGCAAAGTGTCCCGCAGGAAGGAAAAGGCATTATTTTAACCTATGGAAGGTCCCTTTTGTGAACCCAGGCTTCTAGGTAGGGACAGTACTAACCCTCACCTCCAGGAGGCACCTGGGGACTTCCTGACACTGGCTCTGTGCTAGAGTTTTGCTGTGCCACTGAATTTGCTGGGCCACACCAAATCCTTGTGTTAAAAGAATGTGTCTGGGCTGGGGTGTGGCTCAGTGATAGAGAGTTTGCCTAGTATGTGTGAAGCCCAGGTTTCATCCAAGCATCACAAAAAAAAGGTCAGAGCTTCAAATCCCCCCATCCCCCCAGTAGTCTCCCTACACATGAGAGGAGTGTAATTTTCTAGCTAACACTCATAGACCTGCACCCCTGAGCAGGACTCTGGTACCCTCTCATCACACCCCACACTGACTGTGACCTTGGCACCTCCCAGAGGCAGCCAGCTGGAATATGGATTTGGAGTCCACTTTGCTGTGTGTGTTGAGGGCATGAGGGGGTCACCAGTCCCCTCCGAGCCTGAAGTGAAGGTGCCCATGCTGCTGCTGTTGTGCTGTGTGGCTCCCCAGGTAGGCAGGCGCTAAGCTTTGTGGGCGGGAAGCCCTCTCATTTGTTCTGAGGCCAGGGGACAAAAACCGTGTGCAAAAGCAGGAGCGGAGGAAAACAGGGAATGAGTTAAGCCCAGTGGGGATTTTTTTCCTTTATTAGATGAATTTCAAACAGGTACAGAAGTGAAGAGAATAATATAATGCATCAGATAATGAAGAGTTATGTAATGATTCCAGTACCACCTTCAACATTTATCAACATTTTGCCATGCTTGCTTCATTGGTCTCTAAATTGTTTTTTCCTGCTGTAGTAAAGCAAATCCTAGATGTCAGACCACTTCATCTGTATATACTTCAGGATGTATCTCTAATACATAAGGGCTTTTTTAAAAAACATATCTACGGTGCTGTTATTACATCCATCCAAATTACCAACAATTCCTTAATATGATCGAATATCAAATCTACGTTCGATTTTGTTGTCTGAAAAACATGTTTTTTATTGTTCAGTTGTTAAAAATCAGGATCCAAACAATGCCCACCTAACATAGGTCCTAAGTGGCTTTTAGTATATGATAATCAGTCTCCCTATTTTCCTTCACGTTGTTCATTTGTTGAAGAAGCTGTCATTTGTCCTATACAGTTTCTCGCACTGTGCATCTGGCTGACTGCATCCTTGTGGTGTGTATTTTATACTTTGTTTTAACTGATACATAGTAATTGTATACATTTATGGGGCATGGCATGTTATTTTCATACATGTATACAAGGTGTAATAATCAAATCAGGGTGATTAGCATATCCATCATTTCATTGTGTTGGGAACATTCAAATTTCTCTCCTCTGGCTATTTTGAAATATATAGTAAATTATCACTTCCTATAGTTCCCCATTCATGCTTTAGAATGCCAAAACTTGTTCCTTTGTCATTTCATACCTATTAACCAATCTCTCCTATCCCCTCTTCCTCTCCTCCTCAGCCTCTGTTTACCACTGTCCTACTCTTTACTTCTATAAAGTCAACTTTTTAGTGGTGGTTTTTGAAGGGCCCCCTCCATATCCCTGTGAGTGCCTGTGTACCAGGGCTGCACGGTGTGTATTTGCAGTGGTTCCTCAGATGATTGCCAGTGGGGTTCTGAGTGTAATGAGCCCAAGTGCACACCCCTGTCTTGGAGACTATCTGTGTGCCCCATGTGTTGTTTCTATGTATATTTTGCTATTTGGTTGGACTAGAGCCAGAGTTGGGACTCTCAGAGAACTCACTGAGCTTACAACTTTCCACCCCACCCCACATAACACTCCTAACAGCAGACCCCCCCCCCCCGGCCTTGCCTGAAGCAGATGGGAACTCTGAGATGGGGATCAAGAATTCACCCTGGATTCCCACATGCCTTGGGGGCCTTCCTGCAACCCTGAGTCTGGTAAGGGAGGGCTAGGTTTCCGCACCTTTCTCTAGGAGGCCAGCACATACCCCAGGAAGACCTTTGTGTAACAGCTTGGGGATCTCAGAAGAGAGGAACTCACATTATGGCCAGGCTCAGGCGTCAGGTCTCTGATTTCTGTTGTCTCACCTTTGAGGTGGGTAACATGAGCTCCTTTTATAGCTAAGGAAACCAAGGTCATCCTCAGGGAAATTAATTGTTCCTTCTCAACCAGCTTCAAACACCTCGCATTCCATGACCACTTCCCAGCAGAGGGCGTGTGTTGAGTTAGGGAGCAGCATGGCCAGAGGGGAGGGAGATTAGAGCAGACATGGGAGTGCTTTGCACCCCCACTTCCTCTAGCCTCCAGTCCCAGGTGCCTGGTCTTGGCCCAATGCTTGGTTTCGTGCTGACCCCTAGTGATAGAAACAGGTACGGCAATGTCCTAATGGAACCCAGCGAGGAACCAAGTCCCCCAGAGGGAGAACTGCACTCAAGGTCCCCACAGCTAGCTACTGCAGAGGCAAGGCTGGAACTATGATTTGTCTGCTACTGGGCTGCTATTTAGCAAGCATGTTCTGTACAGGTGACACAAATCTAGAGAGGGAGAGAGTATTGTCGTGTATGTATAAATGAGGACTCACCACCCCCGTGAAACTCCACTACCCCCTCCAGGATCTCCACCAGTACTGGGCTCAGGGTCTAACCAAGAAGGAACTGGGAACTCAGACCCCACAGAGTGGCAGGCCTGTGAAAAAGGCCTCCTTCCTGCCTCCAGAATGTAGCTCAGTGTCCAAGTGTAGCAAGGATATACAATGTCAGAGTTTAAGTGCTAACTATCTGCCACATCCCACACTACCACCCTGCCTCCCCCTTCCCCCAAACCCTGCCATATGGATGTGACTTAGCAGGTGAGGAAACTGAACTTCAGAGAGGCTTTGTGGGTGCCCAGGGCCACACAGCCACTCCATGGAGGAGGAATGAGAACCAGGCTGACCTAGTAACCCAGAATGGGAGACTTCCCATTGGCTGGGAAGGGGCACATCAGGGGAACCCTGGTCCTCACCACCCCCTTCCTCCCCAGCTGGCCCCAGAGCACACACTGATGTCCTTCCGGAAGGCCCTAGAACAGAAGCTGTATGGGCTCCAGGCTGACATCACTATCAGGTAGGTGTGTGTGTAGAGGGGGTGCACCTCTTTATCTCCCTGTGGCATCTACATCCGGGTCTCTGTAGGTGGGACCTCTGGTCCCAGAGCCTTGGAGATTGGAGGGTGGAAGTGTGGACCACTCACAGCAGAGCAGGCACCCTTTTTGTGCAAATGAATCTCGTAACAAACTCCAAGATGCAAGGTAGAGGAAAGAACAGACTCTTACTTCAGGCAGAGGTGTGGGATAGGGACCTGGGACCATGCCATAGATTCTCTTAAAGGATCTATGTGTTGCATGATGGAGCTCAAGCATTCAGATGACTGGACTTAGCAAGTTGTAGAGGAATACAATCACTGCGATGCCAGCTGTACTTTAAAAGACCACACAAAAGTGATACACACCTTTTCTATGTGTAGGTATAGAAATATGTATTAGTTTAAATGGCAGGGAAAAGCCACATCAATCTGATATCAGAGATTACTCTGAGAAGGGGAGGGGACAGGGCTACCATACATAGTTGTATAGTTGTGCACTAAACAAGGGTACCACATATGCGAGGTCGCGGTCCCCAGTCTAAACTGCATAGAATTGTGTGTTGTACACCTTTCCAGCAGATGGTGGTAAAATGCTTTGAGGAATGGGGAACACAGGTGCCTTTTACTGTTTCAGGCAGCCTCTGAATTACTGATAGCCAGGTGTGGTAGATAAGGATGGGGTAGGGATGAAATTTTTAAAAAGGGCCTGCATGGGCACTGTTCTATTTATGCCATTGCATGGACTTGGTAACAAACAAAGTTCCACCACTTAGTAGCCATGGACTGTGAGCTTGGTGCTCCCTAGCCTCAGTTTCCCTATTATCAAGTGAGGCAGCACCTGCCTTCCAGGGTTGCTAAGAGAACAGCCTTCCTTAGCAGTGCTCCCTCCACTTGACCCTCCATAGACAGTCAGAGGGCACTGACCCTTTGGAGGTCACCCGCCAGCCTACTGTCCTCTCCATACAGATGAGGAGCCTGCAGCCCAGAGAGGGGTTGGGGAGGAGTGAGAACTGATTGTTGATGGGCAGGTGAGAGCCCAGGGTAGGCAGTGACAGTGGCCCTCTCCCTGCAGCCTGGATGGTGTGCCTTTCCTCATGCACGACGCCACTCTGCGGCGCACCACCAACGTGGAGCAGGTGTTCCCGGAGCTCGCCCGCAGGCCGGCTTCTATGCTCAACTGGACCATCCTGCAGAGGCTCAACGCTGGACAGTGGTTCCTGAAGGTCTGGCTGCCCCCAGCCCCTCCTACACGTGGGAGAGACAGCAGGGACCCTGAGGAGTGAGAGAGGCTGGTGACCGTCAGCTTAGATGACCTCAACTAAGCTGGGCTCCTGACTCAGGGCTGTCACTGCTTATTGGGGTCTGTTTCCCTCACCAGGAAAAGCTAGTGAGGACACTTTGACCCTAGAGACAGGGCAGTTCCAAAAGCTCTACAGTGGAACAGTCTGGAGACTAGGAGACGCTCCAAGCAAATTGTTCTCTGGAGACATGGGTGGGGGGTAGAAAGTTGAGGGTTGGAGGTTCCTGGAACCCTCACTGTACCACAGTCATCAATTGCCTGACATACACCAGCAGACACTGGCAGCTTAGAGGTCTCCATGCTTGGGAAGGTATGTGAAGGTCCCAAAGAGCTGGTGACACAATCTTGTGTGTTTCTGTCTCTGCTAGAGTGACCCCTTCTGGACAGTGAGCTCCCTGTCACCCTCCGACCACAGGGAGGCCCAGAACCAGTCCATCTGCAGCCTGGCAGAACTCCTGGAGCTGGCCAAGGGCAATGCCACCCTGCTGCTCAACCTGCGTGACCCACCCCGTGAGCACCCCTACCGTGGCAGCTTTCTCAACGTCACACTGGAGGCCGTGCTGCGCTCTGGCTTCCCGCAGCACCAGGTGAGGTCTGAAGCCACCCACGAGGCTCGCCCTAATGGAGGCCTGAACCAGCATAAACACACTTGTGCCCTCTCCAGACTTCAGCTTTCCTGTTTGTAAAATGGTGGCTGCGTGCCCCTCACCTCCTGACTGCGTCATCTAGGACAAGAAGGGAACCAGCCCGTGCTTTCAGATGTTCGGTAGTCCAGGTTCTCCAGCCACTTCAGTGGAGTATGGCCCACATTGGAGAACACAGAGTATTGTGGAATAGTATTTTGGGACCAGAGGAACAAGACACCACTCTGTGACAGCATACTAGATGCTGGTGGCCACCGGCAGAGTGATGGATGTTGAGTTTTCCTCACGTTGGGAAGAAAAGCTTCCTGAGTTATTGCCAGATGGCTTCACAGCCATGGACAGGCCACCTCTGATAACGATTCTACCTAGGGGCCAGGCAGTCCCCTTGTCCACCCCTACACGTGCTCTGGGAAGCCTAGGGCCTATCACTCCATTTTGCAGAAGAGAAACCTGACCTGCCCATCTCCCCTGCCTGCAGGTCATGTGGCTGCCTAACAGGCAGAGGCCCCTGGTACAAAAGGTGGCACCCGGCTTCCAGCAAACCTCAGGTTCCAAGGAGGCAGTCGCCAGCCTGCGGAGAGGCCACATCCAGCGGCTAAACCTGCGCTACACTCAGGTGTCCCGCCAGGAGCTCAGGTGCCTGACCTGCACAGCCCAAGACACCCAGAGGAGAGAGGGACCGGGTATCCCCCAGTCCTATTGCCCCCCTCACACAGCTGAGCACGGGGCAGGGTACACAGGCAACACATGGTTCAGAGATGAGAGGTTGAAAGCATCACACAGAGCTGAGTTTGCCCGTGAGCTTGGCCTTCTGGGAGCCTGACATTCCTTCCTGCAGAGATAGACATGAGAGTGTCATGAGGCTGTGAAGGGGAGATGGGGGGGGGCACTTTTTAGGCTTCCCCCATTGGGAAGCAGTCAGAGCCTGGGACTGAACAACCTCTGTCCCCTGTCCAGGGACTATGCGTCCTGGAACCTGAGTGTGAACCTCTACACTGTCAACGCACCGTGGCTCTTCTCCCTGCTTTGGTGTGCTGGGGTACCATCTGTCACTTCTGACAACTCCCACACCCTGTCCCAGGTGCCTTCCCCTCTCTGGATCATGGTGAGTTGGAGATTGTGGGGGACAGAGGGTGACCTGTGGCCTGCTCCCACCCTTGGCAAGCACTGCACCTGGAGCTTTCCCCCGACCTTGCCCTAGTTTGCCTGAGATGGAGGTGGACTGAGGCTTTGCCCTCCCAGCCTCCCTGTTAGGGAAGTGCCCCCCCCCCCCCGACACCTTCTGGCCTTACTTACACAGTGACAGTGTACTCCTGCCCCACAGGTGCCACCGTTTGTGTCCTGTGACATCCTTGCATTCAGATACATTATCCATCTTTCATCACTTGGCTCTTTTATTGAGCTCCCTTAAGCACACAAACCCTTCTAGGTTTAACACACTCTACTGCTACCCTGAGTGCCTGCACACACGCGCACACACTCACACTCATACACACACCCTAGGGCCTCAGTGCCCAGAGCACTTAAGCCTCTGAGCCCCCTCAGGATCCTCCTTTGCCCCTCCTCACCCATCTTATGGGGTCTTTCAACCCATGGACCCTTGGTTTGGGTAGGCCATGACTGGGAACTACTCTTGGGCCATCTGTTCACAGCCCCCGGACGAGTACTGTCTCATGTGGGTCACCGCCGACCTGATCTCCTTCACCCTCATTGTTGGCATCTTTGTGTTCCAGAAGTGAGTAGGCTCTGACTCTTCCATGACCATCCTACCCCATGGCAGGCCCAGCCCCCACCCCAGTGAGCCTAGCTGCATCCCCAAGCCCTTGGCCAGGAGGATGCCTGGCTAAGAGACAGGGAAGGACCACCAGAGGTCCCCAGAGGGCCCCTCCTCCCTCAGCAAAGGTTGACTGGCTTCCGGAAGGAGCACCCAACCTGGAGCCCAGAGCCAAGCTCTGCCCTTACCTGCTGTGTGGGCTCTGGCCATTGTCGGCCCTCTGCCTCTTGGCCTGTTCACCTGTTAGCCAGGGCCTGGGTTTGCTCCCAGCAGCACTCAGCTCTGCTGGCTGAAAACCTCCCACCCCTCTGGCCAGCTGGGATGTGGTTGCAGTGGGTGGGGTGGGTGGCCCAGGGGAGGGTTTAGGGCCAGCCTGGGACCCCAACCCAGCCAGGAACCAAGGGGCTGGGGTTGATTCTTGACTGACGTTCTCTCTCTGTCCCATCCTGCTCTGATCGGCGCATGTCCCTCCTCTCTCCCCTCCCCCTCTCTGCTGCACTCTGGCATCTCACAGCTATCACTTGATCAGGTAATTCTGGTGTGGTCCTCCTCCTCCTCCTGTTCCTCTTTCTGGCCATCCCCTTCTCCAGTTCTGTCTGAAAACCTGCCGTGCACCAAGCCCTGTGCCTGGGTCACCCTCGCCAATGCCTCCCTTCCCTGCCTGAAGCGCCAGTTTCCCCCACCTTCTTCTCCCTGCAATCCTCCTTCTGCTCTTCTTTTTTCTTTTTTTTTTTTTTTTTTTTTGAGATAGGGTCTCACTATGTAGCCCAGGGTGGCCTCAAACTCTCAATTCTCCTGCCTCAGCTTCGTGAGTGCTGGGGTTTGCTCCTGGTTACTACTGCAACTTTTGCAGGTGGGAACCGGTGTTTCCTGGATAGGTCCCTAACCCAGCCTCCCCTCAGCACCTCTTCTTCAGGGAAAGGTCCCTGCCTAAGCACCCCCAGACCCCTGAATCTAGCACGCAGGGGTCTAGCTTTCACCACCTGCCTAATGCAGAACCTGTGTTTCTCTCTCTCTGTCCTCCTCCATTGGCTTCTGCCTCTCTGGGCTTCCTCTCCCAAGGTTCACTCTCTCTGTTTCTCTTTATGTCTCTCCCACATCTTTCTCTTTTTCACTTTCTGTCTCTGCTTCCCACCCCTGCTCCTCTCCCCTCTCCCTTGCATTCCCTTGGGGAGGGCCCCACAATGGCTTCCTGCCTGGATATGCCTGGCTGCAGAGACCCTCACCTGACACTTTCCTGCTAGGTTTTAACATTCATTTCCAAGATGAAACCTAGGCTATAGGGATTCAAGTCCCCCTTGGTCTAGTGCCTTAGGCCCTGCTGGGTTGGGGGGCTTCAGTGTGAGCTTCTAGGAGAGCCTGCTCCCCTAGCTGTGGGATGAGCCTGGCAAAGAGACATTTAGCCAGTCAATCTTTCCTCTGTCCTCAGAGTCAGCAGACAACCATATGCACTCCCTAGTGTGCATAAGGGCCCATCAGATACATCCAGGGCAGTGTCATTATTTCCTGGGGGTCAGGAGCAGTCTCATGGAGAAGGGGATCTGGGGGAAGAAGCAAGAGGGGAGATCGTTTCCCTGTGGGCCTCATTCTTCCATTTATTCACTCAACAAATACTTGTCCAGCACTCCCAATATGGCAGGCATTGAGATTTGTGCTGGGGGCTCAGGGAGGAGTCAGAGGTGTGATTTCTACCCTCAAGGAAGCATAGGGCAGCCAGCCCAATCAGGACACAGGTGCCTTCCCCTTTGCCCCCTGCTTTCCCCAGTCTGTCTGCCCTGTCCGGCCATCTGCCCATTTCTGCTGTGCTGACCCCATCTAGAAATTTGCATTTGATTTCCTGTGGAGTCTTGACTGTCTCCACCACCCAAGCAGGGTTCAGTACCATGGTGGGTTGGGTGCTCATTTCCAAGTTGCCCACCTATTCTTCTTGGTGGGGCAGAGATGAGGGGTGATGAACCTTCTACCTAGATCCTAGAAAAAGGGATTTGAGACTTGTTTGGAGGAACCACTACAGCAAAAACGGTGCCACCCTAGGCTGGGTGCAGGAACCTGAGTCCTCCCTGCTCTGTCCTGGTCTTCAAGTGCAAAGATGCTCTCCTTCCAGCATGATTCATTTTACCTAACCCTGCCTCCTCCTCAGCCATCAGAAGTATTGATGCTCCAGTCCATCGTCCCATTAAGGTGGCTGGAACACAGCAGCAGATGGTCCCTCCACAAATCCCTCTAACACCCTTGTCTCATGGACCTGTTAGGACAGTTCTGAGCCAGGCCTCACTGCCACCTGTTCTCACCTGCATCCCTCCCTTCCTCTCTGGGGCTCCCTCTGGCTTTGTCCAGCCTGTCATGGTGGTGGAGCTATAGGAGGCATCAGTTGGGATTTCCTAAGATTAGCGTGTGTTCCCCCTCCTCCCCCTTGCAGGTGATCAGAATCCTGCCTGCTCAACTACTTTCTCCCCAGATTGTCCCATTCAAGATAGCCAGGTGCATAACTGGATGCACCTGAGGCAGAACTAAACAAACCATCTTTCTGGGCCAGGGCTGCTGATTTACGGCCTTGGAGGTGAGAGGAAGGAAGGCAGGAGATCCTGGCTGGGAATCAGGAGACCCTGATTTAAGCCCTCTCTCTGGGCCTCACTTTCCCCATTTGTACAGTGGGTCTCTCAGGCCATATCCAGAGAGGCTCTGGAAATGGACAGGGTCTCTGCTCCAAGAAGGGTAAGGGAAGGACCTGATGCCCAAGGGCCATTTCTGCAGGTGGCGCCTGGGTAGCATACGGAGCTACAACCCTGAGCAAATCATGCTGAGTGCCGCTGTGCGCCGGACCAGCCGGGATGTCAGCATCATGAAGGAGAAGCTCATCTTCTCAGGTGAGCAGCCTGCAGCAGCCAAGGCAGGCAGAAGGCTGCCTTGCTTCACATGTTCACACACACATGTTCACACACACAGCTCATTAGGACAGGTATATGTGAGCCCCCTCAGGTTCGTCCCAGGGAGGGGCACATACACATAGAAACACATTTCCGCACACAGGCAAACACACACCGGGGCTGTGTCAGTGCCATGGTTGGTAGGCAAAGGTGACAATACAGGGACAAGGAGTCTGTTTTAAGGGCCCCGATCTCTTTGCTTTGCTTGGTTCATCCATTGATCCTATGAATAATGACTGCCCCAGCTGACATTCCTAGTCTGATTGAGGCAGTAGCTATGCAGATAAAGACATGGGAAAGTGGGCAGTGACAGAGCTCTGGCAATGGGAGCTGAGACAGAGAGCATGCTCAGAGCTCCTGAGGCAGCGAGGAAGTTTTAAACAGAATGGGTTTTGTTGGTTTTGTTTTTTGTATGTGAGACTGTGGTTTGGACTCAGGGCTTTTCACTAGCAAAGCAGATGCTCTACCACTTGAGCCACGCCTCTAGTCCAGTGAGCAAGTTTTGGGTAGTGATATAGCTGGAGTGTGAAAGATGGAAGGAGGTGCCTGGGTAATGGAGTGGGGGCAGGGGGAGTGGAAGGAAAGCAAGTGCTCCAGTGGAAACAGGCATGCTCAGATGCAGGAGGGCCACCAGGAACCAAACAGCACTACACAGGGCCATGCCCACTAGGCAGACCTTTCCTAACCTTGGCTGTGTGCCCAGCCCTCTGCCAGTTCTAGGACATAGACATCCTTGAGGGGCTGTGCTCAGTGTGGGTCCAACAGCCACACAGAATGTGATCAAGACTGAGGGAAACAGGGCTGACCTAATGGCAGTGGCCACAAGGCAGCTCCATTCCAGCTGGGGAGCTCGTGGGAAGCATCTAGAAGACCAAGAAAATGGAGATGGGAAGATAAGCCAGATTTTAGGAAAAGGAGGTGCTGGCAAGGAGGTCATTCCTAAAGGAGGGGCCCATATGTGCAAAGGCTCTAAGAAGTAAACACTGGGGACCAAGCTCAAGATGGTGTGTAGGGTTTTCTATAGCTGGAAGGTGGAGTTCTCGGGGACAGGTGGCTGAGGTGAGCTCAGAAAGTTCAGCAGAGACCAAGGTGGGTCCTGGATGCCAGGTTCAATTACTACAGGTTCAGTGCCAACCAAAACCAGTGGTTGTATCAGTCTCTTAAGTACCCAAGAAGTTGTTGCAGAGCACCCTTCTCCCCCCACCTGTCAGCCATTCTCAGAGACCCGTTTTCCTCACTCACCTTTTGTCTCCTCTGGCCTGACAGAAATCAGCGATGGCGTAGAGGTCTCCGATGAGTTCTCTGTGTGTTCAGACAGCAGTTATGACACATACGGCAACAGTACTACTACCCCTGTTGGCCCTCGAGGGAGTGGGAGCCGAGCCAAGCCCCTCACAGACCGGTGTGGGCGTTAGCTAAAGGCCTGTCTGTCCCAGCCTGTATGTGATATAGAAACCAGGAGAGCACAGCAGAACTACCAGAAGCTTCTGGATTTCAAGGGCTCTGGCAGCCGGCTCCATAGCCTCCTCATGGGCTCCAGACCCTTGTCAACCACTGCCTGTCTTAGAGGGGTCCCTCCCCTCTCTCTGAGGCCCCACTGGGCCAGGACTCTAGCCTTTCAGATGCCCCTGCAGGTCTGGGGCTCCTCCTTCTGAGAAGTACAGGACCTGGACCTGGTCCCACTCTCATGGCCCTCCTTCACATCCAAGTCTGGAAGCTTTGATGGGTCACTAAGCTGTCCACATCCCCTGTGGCAATGGAGACTGTGGATGCTCACCAATGTCTGAGGCAACTGACATCTCCATTTTTATCCTGCCTCGAGGACCTGAGCTGGGCCTCTACCCCCAGCCCTGGCAGCTCTGCTCTCTACTTCAGTCTCAAAGCACAAGGAGGTTCAGCCCAGGAGGAAAGCCAGTGACCATGGTGGAGACATGTCCTTCTCCCAACCAGCCTCCCACCACTGCTGGCCCCTGACCCCGAGGGGCTGGAGCCATGTTCCCTAGCAGCAACTGGAAATGACCAGAAGGGTAGGCTCAGAACTGTTCTATTTCACACCTAAGTGTCCAACAAGCCTCTGGGAAGAAGTGGTCCTGAGACCCAGAAGATCTACAGTCTGACATACCCTTAGGTTCCCACAGGGGTGGCCACAGGCAAGACTCACCTGGAAAAAGTGTTCTGGGCATGGTCAAGTGGGCCTGTGGTTAAGGAGGCCTGCATGGAGGGAGTCTGAGGGCCTTGGCCAAGATGATTAAAGCTGCCATCTTGATGTGTGTTGTCTCTGAATTGTCAGCAGAAGGGTGGGGACAAAGCATATTAGGTGTGAGATTTGGTTCTGGCCCGGGGTTTAAGGAGGAGCCACTCTCAGATGACCGAGATGTGGCAGGGTGGTTAGACCCTACCACAGGTTACCCATGATGCCACAGGTACTCAACAGCCCTGGGGTGTATCCCCATATTGTGGATGGGGAAGACAGTCTTGGAGAGTTAAAGTGACCATCCAAGATATTGCTTAGAATAGGCAAAGCTAGGACCCCACCTAGACTCTGGCTCCAGTCCATGCTACCTTCTATAACCAATTAAGAATAGCACAGTGAGTTATGGGGCTGGGGGAGGAGTGGTCTTGGGTCTGATGCAGGGCTGGGGAGTGGGACCCCAGGCTTCTTAGGAGTCAAGGGATTTATCTCTTCTCCTTAACAAATTTGTTTCCCCCAAATTAACCTCTTCCCCATAGCAGAGGTTGACTCTGACTTCTCAGAGCTTTGGTCCTGGCTGAGGCAGCTCCCCCTCCCATCCAGGGACAATTCTGCTGCCTTCCTCTCCCCCCAGCAGAGGAATGCCCTTCCCACCTGGGCAGTCAGCTGGGCCAGTCTCCAGCCTCATTTGAGGCTGCAGCCCATCCACCTTGGCTTCTCTCCCCTAACATGAGGGGTTTCTGAATAGCCTGTTTTCCTGCAGCCCTCTGGTGGCTCCCCTTGACTGCAGAGGACAGCCTCACTGCCATTTCATAGGGAAACAGAAAGTGGCCCTTACTTTCTGGCCACTCCCTGAAAATCACTCCTTCCTTTCTCAGAGGGCAAGGCCTCTTTCCCAACCACCACCTCCTCGACTCTCTGTGTACCCTCAGCACCTTCTTCCCCAGAATAAAGGTGCCCAAACCTCTCACATCCTTTAACAAACAGCCATACAGAAAATATGTTTTTTTAGGGGGGATGTATAAGGGAAGCTCACCATTCCCTGGAGCAGGTCTGTCATGACCCAGCCAGACTTCAGGACACATGCTTGGTCAAAATCATAACACTCTTGTTTTAGTTTTTTGTCATTGTGACAAAATACCTAAGAAAAACAACTTAAAGAAGGAAAGACTTACTTTGGCTCACAGTTTTGGAAGTTTCAGTCCATGGTCACTTGGCTCTTGCTTCTAGGCTTGTGCATGATGAGGCAGAACGTCATGGTGGGGAGCATGTGGTGGGAACAAGGTGCCTCACCTTATGGGAGACAGGAAGCAAAGAGACAGAAGCAGCCAGGGTACACCCTCCACCATGACTTACTTCCTCCAACTAGGGCCTAACTCATATTCTCTACCACTTCCCAATAATGCCATCAAGTTATAAATCCATCAATGGATTAGTCCATTGGTGAAAATAGCACCCTCCAATTATCTCTCTCTCTCTCTCTCTCTCTCTCTCTCTCTCTCTCTCTCTCTCTCTCTCTCTCTCTCTATATATATATATATATATATATATTATTTATTTTGCAGTTCTGGGGTTTGAATTCACCCAGAGCCATTCCACCAACCCTTTTTTAGCAATTTTTTTTCCATATAGGGTTTCGTGAACTATTTGCTTGGGCTGGCTCCGAACTATGATCTTCCTGATCTCTGCCTCCTGAGTAGCTACGATTACAGCCAGAGGCACCCAACTCAATTACCTCTTAATTGCACCACCAGCCAGGCACCTTAAACCTTTTTTGGGGGAACATGTCATATCCAAACCATAGCACCCCCATCCTGGCACCTCCACAAACTCTGAGCCTGCCTGAGCCTGGCTGGAGCAGGCTCTTACCACACCCAGAGAGGGCATCTTCACATCCCTCTCCCAAGTATCTCAGCAACCCAATACAATGGGCAGAGCAGGACTCTATTCCCCTCCTGCTGAGGTTAATAGCAAAGCCAAGGGGAGGAAGCAATCTGGCCAGGGTTGCATAGCACATTACAGCAGTGTCAGGATAGGCCAAGGTGCCTAGAGCCCACTCAGGTTCTTGTCAAGGCAACCTCCTCTCCAAATTCTGCTCTTTCCATAAAGGAAAGTCCCTTCACTGCTCTACCGATGCCAGATCCTGCTGCCCTTTACACGGTCAGTAATGATCCAGCACAAGCTCTAGGTCCCCTTCCTCTGGCTCCAGGACACCAGGCTCACCCAGATCAGCCTCATTCTCTCCTCCATCACAGCTCAGCCTGCCCAGTGCCATCACACCGTGTACCCCTAAGGGGTCATACCCAGTCCACTCACACAACACCAGAGACACACTATGTGCACACAGACAGATCTCTGACTCATGCACATATGTCCACACAGACACACCTGGTCCATAGGTATACACACCATGACACACACAATCCACAGACACAAACCCCTAATACACACAGAAATGATCACCCAGACACAAAGAAACAGGGTCAGGCAAAGTCCTACAATGACATGTGAAGCAGGGATATAGACACGAGAGTCACCAGAAGAGGTACCTTGATCCATAACTGTGACAGTCACATTCCTGGTGACATCTGCAGCTCTACGGTCACATATCCACACATTCTCAACTGCACAGTCATTATGTTCCATGCATTTCCACACTCACATATAGGTACCTGGAACACATACATGCTGACAACTACCCCATCTACCCAAACAGATCCCCTCCCCACACACACCTGTGTATCATTCAGGACAAAGTCAGCACCAGGTCACCCCCAATCCCAAGCACACCAGATCCTGAAGTTACACACAGTTAATTCCATGCTTCCACCTGCCCCCTTCCTCCTGAGTCTGATCCAAGATTGGAACAAAAGCCCAGCGTCCACCCCTCCCCCTCCCCTCTCTCCTCTCTCTCCCTGGCGTCCAGCCCCTTTGTCCTCCTGCAGCTAAGCAGGAGTCTAGGCGGAGCGGCAGGGACAGGGATATCAGAGTCTGGGCTGCCGGCAGGCACTGTCAGCAGTGGTCCCTTCAAGAGCAGCAGTCTCGGAGCTCCTGAGAGTGGGCGTGGCCAGGTAAGTGCCAGGTACCTGAGGGCAGGTCTGCTGGCTTGTGTGGGGTCCACAAGTCTGAGGGTGTGTTACGTGAGTGGGTATGGGATGAAAAAGAGACAGAGACGGTGACAGGTTGAGCCAACTTCCACAAGCCGGATCTCTCTCAAGAGTCTGTGTCCTGACCCTCGGGCTGATGTGTTTAGTCTGTGGAGATGGCAGAATGCTGAGGAACCTCCGCCTGGGACCCTCTACCTTCCATGTTCTGACTGGGTGCCCTTTGGCCCCCAGACTGGGAATTCCCAGGTAGAAACTCGATCTCACATAAGTACTGGTGCACTCCCAAATAGGGACTCCCTCCCCCAGGTAGCTCCTTCTGCCCTGGGACATCTCAGCAGCAGGAAGTCCTTGTATGCTGTCTTGGCCTCTTGGGTCTCAGCTCAGAGTGTGGCTGTGTCTTGGGCTGGAGGAGGACAGGGGAAGCATGAGCTGATGACTGTCTCATGTCCCTCTACTGGTCCCTAGCTGCTCCTTGGAGACATGCCCCCACCCTGGTAAGTGTGGCAGAAAGGATAGGTATGCAAAGCCTGGAGCCCTGTGGATTCAGGATCCAGCCCCTTCTACTTGGGCAAAAGGAGTTAACTTTCTTGTCCACTAGGAGCTCATTCTTCTGATGCCGAGGCAGAGGATCATCCACCCAGGATGATTTGGGCATGAGCGGTAAAAAGCGGGACTGACACTGGGTAGGATCTGAGATCAGGAGAATGGAGGGAGAGGCAAGGAGCAGAGGGCAGAGCTGAGTGCCTCTGGAGAAAGCTGTCACATAAAGGAGAGGGCTCCCTGTCCCTGGAAGTAAGTATGAAAGCACCGGCTGTATGTTTGTAAGAGCCAAGTCCTAAACAGCATGGAAGACCTTTCAGTCTGTGGAGTGTGTTCACAATCACCGCTCCTTTTCTAAGCCTTGCAGCAAACTTCCAAAGGGCAGGATCTCTCTGGGCTAGGTTTCTCATGGCAAACTAACTAAAGACACTTTCCAGGGTTGTGAGGGTCACATTAAATTATGTACACAAAAGCAACCAGCACACATGGTGTGCTCCCTTTTGGGTAATTAAAAACAAGGTAAGGAAATCTTTGAGTGTGGACTTAGCATTTTTCATACACTCAATCCAATAGTCACGCAGTCACAATACCTCTATGGGTAGGCATTCTGATCCTGTTTCAGTGGAGATCACGAAAGGGAGACAGACTTGCCCAGTGCTAAAGGGAGCATTAGAATCCCATTGGTCCTCAGAGCCGGATTCTTTTCACTTCCCTGTAACTGGAGATGTCCTCCCTGACTCCCTTGCCTCCACCTGGCTAGTTCTATTTGAAGTTCGTCCCTCAAGAACCCCTTCCAACTCAACCCCAACTGACTTTACTGTCCCTTCTATTAGCTTCCCTTATTCTCTATACTTCCCCCAAGTGACCCCTGCCAAGCGGTGAGCCCTGGGAAGGCAGAGACTGTCATTACCTTGTTCTCTGGCACAGAAAATGCTCTCAATAAACACTTGTTTAATACATGCGCTGGACCTTGAACAGGTATTAAGATGCTGTGATGTGGAGGATGGGGCAGATATTAAACAGAATAGCATCAGCGTTTAGTGAATGGGGGTACCTGCAGGAGATCTGGAGGAGACAGGATGGAGAGGAGGAGGTCAAGTTAATGTGAACGAGCACACACATGCTGGGGAGCCTCTGGCATAGCCTGAATTCCTTGACGAAAGACTAGCTCCTGTCATGGGACCCTCCCTACACAAGTATTTGTCCAGGTTCCAGTAACTTCTTTGCCATTCCCCTTCGGGCCTTGGTGGTAAAGGCTCCCTGTTGCTGGTCACCACATGGCACCGCCCTATCCCTTTTGGAGCTTCTAAGTACTTCCTAAGCTGTTGCAAATCTTTCCTTTATTGTACTCTCCTCAAATTACCCTACTTGAGAGTCTACCATCTGTCTCACTTAGCGAGTCTGAAGAGCAGAAAAAGGCAACAACAGAAAAGGGCGGAAGTGGATACAGTGGAGAAGGTGGTCTGCATAGACAGGGGCTAGAGATCATTCTAGCCAGGTAAGTTTAATGGGCGATGAAGGGATGAATGCTGAATGAATGCCAGCATATGCGTCACGTTCGTGCGTGCATGAGTAAATCAGTGAACGAGGGACTAAATGGACGGGGTGGGGAGTGGTGTGAACTGGCCCCCTGGGTCCCGCAGCCTGCCCTGCCAGGCAGATTTCCCGACGCTGTGTGTGTTCTCATCCTGCAGGATGCGGGAGGCCCGGGGGCTGGAGGATTCGGAGCCGGGCTGCGAGGCGCCGTGCGCGGTCTCCTGCCACGCGCAGCGCGTCCTGCAGACCCTCAACGCGTACCGGCGGAGCGGCACCCTCACCGACGTGGTGCTGCGCGCCGGCGGCCGCGACTTCCCGTGCCACCGCGCAGCGCTCAGCGCGGGTAGCGCCTACTTCCGTGGCCTGTTTGCGGCCGGCCGGCCGGAGCGTACGCTGGCCGTGGTGCCGGTGGTGCCAGAGGCGCGGGGCTCGGGGCCGGCGGGAGCGGCGACGGCGACGGCGACGGCGACGGCGGCGGCGCTGGCGGTGGTGCTTGACTACGTGTACGGCGCGGGCGTGCGGCTGCGCGCCGAGGACGAGGCGGCCGCCGTGCTGGCGCTGGCCGAGCGGCTGGGCGTGGCGGGCCTGCGCGAGGTGTGCGCGCGCTTCCTCGAGGGCCGCCTGCGCGCCGCCAACAGCCTGGCGCTGCGCCGCTTGGCCGCCGCCTTCTCGCTCGCCTCCCTGGCCGAGCGCTGCGGCCGCGTGCTGCGCCAGGCCTTCGCCGAGTGGCGCGCCACGCCGACTTCCTGGAGCTCACGCCGGACGAGGTGGCGGCGCTGCTGGCCGACCCCGCGCTGGGCGTGGCGCGCGAGGAGGCTGTGTTCGAGGCGGCCATGCGCTGGGTGCGCCATGACGCGCCGGCCCGCCGCGGGCAGCTGCGGCGCCTCCTGGAGCACGTGCGCCTGCCCCTGCTGGCGCCCGCCTACTTCCTGGAGAAGGTGGAGGCCGACGAGCTGCTGCAGGCCTGCGGCGAGTGCCGCCCGCTGCTGCTCGAGGCCCGCGCCTGCTTCATCCTGGGTCGAGAGGCCGGCGCGCTGCGGGCCCGGCCGCGGAGGTACGGCCGCTGCCCCCTGGCCTCCCGTCCAACGCCAGTCCTCCGGTCTTCAGTCGCCCACTCGTTTCATTATCCCTTAATTTGCTTAGTTGTGTATGTTGAAGTTTAGCCATTCGTTCAACGTTTCCTAGGCTTGGTGCCGGGAATTCTGCCTTGAAGTAAGTCCAGTGAGGGAGACACAGGGATCCCACACCTGGCGCACATTCCTTTTCTTGCCCATCGTCTATAACTTTGCGTGGGTTCCCTGTGCAGGTCCTCTCGGGAGTGATTTTAGAAGCACGCTGTGCTCTCTGCCTTTTTTTTTTTTTTTTGCTGGGACTGGGATTTGAATTCAGGGCTTCATGCTTGCAAAGCAGGCGCTCTACCACTTGAGCCACAGTTCTAGGCCAACCCTTCAGCTCCGTGCTCTCTGGGAACCCATAGAGTAGTACAGGATCTAAATAGCGTGGAAAAAGATGAAAGAGGGCTACTCAACCCCTCAAACTCTAGATCTGGAGACTATGGGTGGAGTCATCGGCAATGGAACAGAAGACAGGAATGACAGTTTTCTACACTGCATCTCTTACACAAAACACAGGGCCTGGGCCCGATACCTTGCTCATCATTTGTTAAGGGAGTTTGGAAACCACTGGCCGTAGGGTAGGAAAATATGATGAGGTCAGAAGCCTGAAGGGTCAGTGAAGGGATGCTTTGTGGCAAGTGTGAATAGTACTGTTCAAGGGAATTAGTGATTAAATAAGGGGTATAGGAGAAGGGAGGCGGAATTAGCAGTTGGGAGTGGAGGTCAGAAAGGGAGTGTGAAATGGGTGGACTCCTGTTAGACAAACTGGGCATGACTTTGGGCAAGCCATAGTCCATGAGCCTCAGTTTCCTCCTCTGTAAAAAGGCCAGTAATCCCTACTTGAAGGAACTATCTTAAGAAGTGGTTTTTGTAGGGGAAGGAAAGGGCTTTGTAAAGATTCCTTTTTCTGGCTGGGCGCAGGTGGCTTACGCCTGTAATCCTAGCTAGTCAGGAGGCAGAGATCAGGAGGATCTTAACTCAAAGCCCACCTGGGCAAATAGTTCTGAGAGACCATATCTCAAAAAAGGGCTGGTGGAGTAGCTCAAGGTGTAGGCCCTGAGTTCAGGATCCAGTACAGCAAAAAAAAGAAAAATCTTTTTTCTGTAAGTTAGAGGTATATAATAGGTAAGAACTAGTGACCTTCCCATCAGCAACCAGAGCAAAGTTTAGAAGTGGTAGAGTCCAGTGGGGGCCAGAGATGGGTTGAGAAGAGCTTGGGAGAGAAGTAGGACTGTATAGAGTGGTCAGCAAGAGGGTGAGAAAGGATGACAACTTGGGTGCCAATTAACAGGCACTGGCTTTATTCCCATGCCAGATTTATGGACCTAGCTGAAGTGATTGTGGTCATTGGTGGTTGCGACCGCAAGGGTCTCCTGAAGCTGCCTTTCGCTGATGCCTACCATCCAGAAAGCCAGCGCTGGACTCCACTGCCCAGCCTGCCTGGCTACACCCGCTCAGAGTTTGCGGCCTGTGCTCTTCGAAATGACATCTACGTTTCTGGTGAGGGTGGGACCTGGGACCAAAAGAACCCTGGCATTGGCTTGTTGACCCCCACACAAAGCTGCCCTTGTTTTTCCCTCCAATTGTGAGATGGGAGCGGGATTTTTCCTGATGACCTACAGTTACTGTCTGAAGTGATACATAGTCCAGCAGAGCCTGTCACTGGTGTAGAGTGTGGGGTCCAGAAGCACAGTGCTAGAGTTGGGGGGAGGGGTTAAGGTGTAAGCTTTGGGTTTGATCTTTGCTCTGACAAATGGCCATATGGTCTTCAGCTCATTCTTTATCTCTAAGCTTATCCAGCTGTGTACATGGAAACTGGGTATAATAATTCCAACACCTTATGGAGGGAGCGAGGAGAAAACAAATGAAATCGTGAGGGTGAAGGGATGATTACCGGGTCAGCTCTCCCCTCCTCTATCCCTGTGCAGGTGGCTCTGCTTTTCCTTGTTCCCCAGCACATTCTTAATGCTCATCTTGGATACCCTCCACCTTTGCTTCCCTTAGCACAGAGCTAGCACCCCACCACAAGGCATCTGGTTAAGATTAGCACTTTCCTGAACCTATTAGGACCACCCTCAAGACCCCTAACTCAGGCCTTCTCGTTCATTCAGAGCATACTGCCTGGGTCATAGGCTCAGTCTTACACTACCAGCCCCAACCCTTCCTTTGGATCTGAGGGCCTGTGTTTCTGGCTTGTTGGGGGGACTAGGTGGGGGTGCAGGGAATAGCAAGAGGGCTTGGAGGCAACAGCTGCTTCTCTCTCCCTAGGAGGCCACATCAACAGTCGTGACGTGTGGATGTTTAGCTCCCATCTGCACACCTGGATCAAGGTAGCCTCGCTGCACAAGGGCAGGTGGAGGCACAAGATGGCAGCAATGCAGGGGCAGGTAGACACACACTGCAGCTGCTGCCCTAGGACCCAAGACACATCTATGAACGTCCTGGGGGGGAAAGTCTTTGAGATCTGAGGCCGGAAAAAGAAAAGGAACTTGCCCAAGATCACGTAATAACACAATGCTAACAATAGCAGCCATCACTATAGGAGTATAGCTTATTGGTCAAGGATGTAAGCGCTGGGGCCAAACAGTTCAGGTTTGAATCTTTGTGGCTCTGCTACTTAAGGCAAAAACCCCCAAAAACCCTGTCTATTATCTTTGTAAACTACATCCTGAATTCAAAAACACAAAAGTGCTTCTGAGAATCAATTAAATGGAGACATAAACCCTTAATAAACTATTCAGTGTTATTATTAAGCATCAGCTTGGTGCCAGGTATTTGCAGATCTCATCTGCTTGAGACTGGCCTGTTACCCAGGTTAAGGAGAGGAAGCAGCTCAGTGGTGGCAGTGCTAGGATGTCCCCAGCTGGGTTGGGTTTTGTTTGGCTCCAAGACTGGGGTGGGAGTAGTATTCCAAGCTGACAGGCTGAAGCAGTGGGCGGTGGAGTCACCCATGGCTGCTACTCTAGCTGTCCCCACCTGTGTTCTCATCCGCAGCTGTTTGTGGTGGGCGGTTTCGATGGCCTCTGCCGTCTGCACAGCGTGGAGCGTTATGACCCCTTCTCCAACACCTGGGCTGCCGCTGCTCCCCTACTGGAGGCTGTGAGCTCTGCCGCAGTGGCGCCCTGCGCTGGCCAGCTCTACGTGATCGGGGGTGCCGGGAAGGATGGTCTCAATACCGACAAGGTGGGTGCCTGGGGGCCGAGGGGACGTTGGAGGCTGCAGGGAAGCAGCAGCACTTACCATGGGCCAATTATAGACCTGGGTGTGTTCGTCCCTTTTCTCATTTAATCCTATCAGCAGCCGGCAATCATCCCCAGGTTTCAGGCAAGGAAGAATTCAGAGAAATGACCCCAAGGGCACACAGTAGGTCAGCAGAACACCTGGACTCTTGGGCTGGTGCTCCCATATGGTTTCGTAGATTAAAAAAAATTAAATGAAGGCAGGAGTAGGATTAAACGTTAAAATGTTTCTCCTCTATTCAAAAAATAATACGCATTATTGAATTTATTGAACCTTTAGAAATAAAGTCATCCATAGTCCTGACATAAATATTTTGGTGCACTGCCTTCTGGGCTCCCACTGACATGACTTCCACTTTTCTGTTTTAGTTTTATGTTCTTACTGTAAAACTTTGCATTCTGCTTCCTATTCTCATTTTAGTGTGAGCTCTTCCCACATGCCTAGAACTCCACAGCCATCATTTCGGTGTCTAATAGTTCACTGGGTGGACAAGCCATAGTATATCAGTGGTCTACTGCTGGACATTTAGCCCGCTCTGAATGAAAGTTAATCTTTGTAGCAGCTCTCTCCCTCCCAAAGGCTCACAATCCTGTAGTCCTGGAACCTGAACCCTTCCCAAATTAGGGACACCTCCCCCAATTCCCTGACCCCATTCCTCCAGTGGAATTTGTGGAGCTGGGTGGGGACACCAGCAGGAGTGCACCCAACATGCAACACTGCTTTGCTATAGACCATTCTGGGAGTCTCTGAGGAGGCAATTGAGAAAACGAGGTGAAGGTGAGCAGACAGCCAGGTACAGGTATGCACCTTCAAAAAGGGGTTAGGGTATCATAAGCAATCTGGGCCCAAAAGCCTGTGGACAGCTGTAGCAAGGAACCGAGTTGCAAGACATCTTAGCTGGAATCAAGTCTTGATCCCAGAGCAGAAGGGAAGGTTGAAAAGGCACACAACCAAGATTGCATCTCCACAGGGGACATGCAGTCAGTACCTCCACCTGGGACACACAGTTCTCACAGCTTGGTATGATGTACTCATTAAGATTAATCCCCTAAGGTGGCTCAATTCTCTTTCGTCAAAGGAGAGACTGTTCCTGCAATGGGGAAGGTTTTGAGGATGGGCTGTCATTTGAGCTGGACCTTGAAAGATGAGGCGGCTCTTAACAAAGGATGTGCAGATGCTGGGGACTGAACTAGGCTGAGAGTACCTAAGGGCAGGGTCAGTAGGTTTCCTACCTCTCAGACACTACCTCAGGACCAGTGGACATTGGTGGTGGTGTGCTGAGTGTCCCTAGGGAGGTGAGAACATGGGCGGCAGAGCAGTTGGGGGTGAGGCTTAATCACCACTGTTTTCCTGTCCCTCAGGTGCAGTGCTTTGATCCCAAGGAGGATCATTGGAGCCTGCGGTCACCAGCACCCTTCTCACAGCGATGTCTCGAGGCTGTCTGCCTTGAGGACACCATCTATGTCTTGGGGGGCCTCATGAGCAAAATCTTCACCTATGACCCTAGCACAGATGTCTGGAGGGAGGCAGCTGTCCTCCCCAGCCCTGTGGTAAGTGGAGGCTTCTAGGCACAGACCTCTCGTGGTCCATTCAGGAGAGCAGACTCACTTCTAAGGCTCTGGAGCTTGGAGACAGTGAGTTTCGTGTATGATTCCATGCTAAGCAGCTTTACATAGTTCTGTAGCATATCCTCCTGGTGATAATCAACCTTGCCTTTCACAGAGGCTGGCCCAAAGTCACAACTAGGCCATATTAGGGCAGAGCCTGGATCCCCAAGTACTGAGGCCTTGAGTTGGGTCTAAATGAACCTGCAGTTTCTCCTAGCCCAGAGGCTACCAGCTAGTGGGGTGTAGATATTTATAAGTTCCTCTGCTCCTGGTGTATCAGATAGAGGTCCAGGTTCTGGAAGCTCTGGCTCCTACAGTTCCTTGGCTCCCCTACCTTCTGTCCCTCTCCTGAGACTCCAAAAAAACAATGTAGAGGTATGATTGGACTGTTGGTCCCTGCTATTTCTGGCCTTCAGTGATCCTAAGAGCCTGAGATTTCTGGCTTCTCCAAGTCTGAGATGCTAAGATGGGGATGGTGATTATTACTGTTAGTGTGCTTACTCTACTTCAGGCATGATGGACAATACTTTACATACCTAACCCCATTAACTGTGAAGAGAACCCTATGAAGAAGGTACTATTATTCTTTGTACTTTGTAGATGAGGACAATTAAGACCCAGAGCAGTTACAGGACTTGTCTAGGCCATTCATCTAAAAAGGGTCAAAAATTCAGGTCCACCCACTTTCTGACTCCCTGCCAGACTGCCTGTTCATGGTCTGTAGAGTAAGGCTGTTTCCTGGCCTGACCAGCTAGGGACTGAGGGGAGCCCCAAACTGGACCCCACAGTTAACCGTTTTTCTGTTGTCCCTCCAGGAGAGCTGTGGCGTAACAGTGTGCGATGGAAAGGTCCACATCCTTGGGGGGAGGGATGATCATGGGGAGAGCACTGATAGGGTCTTCACCTTTGACCCCAGCAGTGGACAAGTGGAGGCCCAGCCATCCCTGCAGCGCTGCACCAGCTCCCATGGCTGTGTCACCATTATTCAGAGCCTGGTCAAGTGACTCAGACTGAGACTGCCTGAGCCAGGAGGCAGAAGGGCAGGGGGAGAACTCTGGCACACCTCTCTGCTCTCCTCCTGGAACCTTTATATGAACAGCCTCATAAATTACTGCCCCATTTTCTTGCACAAATAAAACCTCATTCAAAGGTTGGGTCTATGCTCCAGCTCAAATCAACTTTGTCTAGAGGAGGTATCCCGAGTATCTGCTTCCTGCTTTTATTGTTTACAGGGCACTGTCACACAATCTTAGTCCATTTGGGCACTACAACTATTTATTTTTCAGTTTTGGATCTAGGCACAGCAGATTCAGCATCTGGTGAGGGCTCTGCTTTGTAGATGGCATTTTCTTACTCTATCTCCACCTGGTGAAGGCAGCAAGGCAACTCTTTCATGAAAAGTTTCAACCTCTCATAAGGGCACTAATCCCAAATGATTTAATCACTTTCCCCCTCTTAATACTATCATGTGGGTATTAAATTCCAGCTTACGAATTTTGGAGGACACCAAAGTTCAGCCCACAGAACACTCATTATCTCATTTACTTTCCTAACAGCAGTGTGGACATTAGGAAAAAAAAAAAAAACCTTTTATGTAGGGTGGAGGGCACCAGTCCCAGGCCAGGCTGTGCACCTAAACCTGCCAATTCGCAACATCAATGTGAGGCGCAAGCCCCTGCTGCCATTATAAACACTTGGTGTGTCCTGGGACTCCAAGGACAGTGACAAAACTGCTGGACAGAGGGGTGAGCTTAGAGGACAGTGAACAAAAACACACCACAGACAGATGCTGAGGCTGAGGTCAAGACATCTAGGTCTGTGCCTGTGGCTCAGAGGCTGGAGGCGCTGGCCAGGCCCATCTGCAGCCCCTCATTTGCACTTAAATTGCCTTTTGACTAGGTGCATCATCTGTTTGGAAAGCTCTAGAGCACTAAGCCAGTCACACCCCTCCCTATCTTGCAAAGCCCCAGGGCTGTCTGCAGGATCTCTCCAGCTGGGGCTGGCCCATCACAACCAGGCACAAAGGCCAGGGTCCCAGCTGAGCTCCGACCCACCAATTACCCCAGATTAGGAAGCCTGTGACCATCTGGACACATCTGATAATGGCAGCAGGGGAAGGGAATGGGATGGAGGCCCAGCACCATTGAGCCTGCCTGTCCCCACCCGACCAGTAACACTCAGAACAAAGCTTTGGTACCATATTCCTAACCTACCCGGAAAAAGATAGGGGCACATACAGGGCAAGTTCTTCCCTAGGATGTGGGCATCACAGTTCCTGTGTGCCAGGCACAGTGATGTCCATGCTGACCATTCACATTCCCAAAGCACATGCCAAAATTCTTTTCTTGCTTTATCTGTCTAGGCATACCTGGTACTCTGTACCCCGTAATTTTCCACTCTCTCATCTGCTATGCCTTTTCTATCACCCAGCAGATGGCCAAGCCTTCCTGTATGACATCTCTTAATTTCCAACACACGTAGGATGTCCCTTTAAGGCAGGAAAAGTGTCAGCTTCACCTGTGTCCTCCAGTGCCTGAAACAAAGCCACTTGCTGAATAAATGAAACTGAATCTCAAATTTGTGAGATAGGCACTACTGCTGCCTGCCTCTGCCTCCACAAATAAGAAGTCGTGAAGTGACTTGCTTGTCACTGGGATGGTAAGTGGTAGCAGAGCCAGGATTCAAACCTGGGTTCAGGCACCTCCAATGCCTTTCTCCATGCTACCTCACTCAGGCTGTTAATCCGTGTTGAGCACAGCACTGTTCTATGGGAGATTTCCACCAAGGGAAGTCATGGCCGGATGAGATACTGTCCCTGCCCTTAGGGACCTCCAACTGGCTGAGGGGAGACACGGTTTTAAGTCTCTCAAGTGAGATCCACAGAAACATCAAGTGTAACACCCATTCATCGTAATCTCCTAGAAAGAGACCATGTCTGGAGGGCCTTGCTTGCTCCTAGTCCTCGGTCCCTTGGCCCTCCAGGCTACCTTCTGAATGCCTTCTATTATACTCTAGGAAGCCAGACCTTGTACCAATCCAGAGTGCAAATCCTTTAGCCACACAGGTTGTCCGACTCCCTAGCTAAGAACAGGTTTAAGTTGTGGTATAGCATCAACAAATCTAGTTCAAGTTTCTTTATTGAGTAGTAAGTGCTAGTGAGTTCTAAGATTTGATGCTTTATGACTATTAGTGATCTTCCAAGTAACAGTAAGAAAACTTACTTGTATCTTAAAAAATAGAATATAATTCAGTCTGTCTTGCAATTACCATATGGATTCGTTGGATTCTTTTTTTTTTTTTGGTGGTACTGGGGTTTGAAGTCAGGGCTTCGCTAGTCATTGGACTCTTATAAATCCAAAACACCATTTTGAGATCTTGTATTTTTCCTGTGTCTAAACTATTTCATCATCCTAGAAAAATATTTCATTATCAATTATTCTCAATTATCCTAGAAAAAACTAAAATGTAAAATGGTGTTGTCTAGATTGAAGATGCAGTAGTGCCTAAACAGTAACTATTACGTCATACTTGGTGCATCTCCCAAAGTATTGTATCATCTTTCAGAAGTCTGGATATATCAGTTGAGACCCAGGATTTCTCATTTTCCACCCATAACGACAAAAAGAAAATTGACAGAGGACAGTTCACTTATCAGACAAACCAGAAAATGAAAGCAAACAGTAGCATTCTAGTCTGTAAGGATAGTGAAGTCAAGTCACATAAACAGATTCGTTTTCTCAAACAAGTTGGTGAGAGAACATTTCCAAAGACAAAGAGGGCTGGAGTGTGGCTTCAAGTGGCACCTGCCTAACAAGTCCAAGGCCCTGAATTCAAGCCCTAGCACTGCCAAAAAGATTAAAAAAAAAAAAATTTAAAACCAGATGGAAAAGACGGTATGGTCTTTTATCCAATGAAATAATTCAGCAGGATTATTACAGTATTTTGTGACAAAAGTGCTGTGACAACACTTTCATCTTTATGGTGCTTATGCACCAAAGGTTACTTGGTTTAGTTTGTAGGCACACATGCTAAAGGTAGTTGTGCACAAAAGTGACTTGCAAGAAATGGATGCTGTAGTTTTTGTGGTATTGGGAGTTGAACCCAGGGCCTTGCCCATGCCAAATAAGCACTCTCCCACTGAGCCACACTAACCCTAGAAATTTTTTAAATCTATGGACTGGTCATATTTTATAGTTTTTCTTTATGGCGGTACTGTGGTTTGAACTCAAAGCCTCATCGTGCTCGCTAGGCAGGCCCTTTACCACTTCAGTCACACCAAGGCCCATAACTGATCTTTAAATATCTAGGAAAGTGAGCACTGAGCTACAACCTCAGCCCCTGATCTTTAAATACCTAAAAATAAAAAATGTCTGGAGTAAAAAAAGTATGGAGTAAAGGTAATAGCAGATAGGTGCTAGTAATTCTCACTACTCAGGAGTTAGAGATCAGGATGGCAGTTTGAAGCCAGCCTGGGCAGGAGAGTTGCTCAAGTGGTAGAGTGTGCAAATCCTACTACCACCAAAAAAGAAAAAATAGCTGTCCTCAACAAAATTATGAGCCATCAAAAACTTCAAAAGCATTGTGTTGACAATGCAAGTGCAAAAAACAAAACAGAAGCAGTGATAAGCTGGAGCCTGTTAGAGATGTTATTTGAAAACCGGTACCATTACAAGATGAATTCCAGCTTCATACATGATAGGCAAAATAAAATCTTATTTGTGGGACCGTGCTCATTTGGGGTATATATACTCTATTAGTCACTTTCCATCGCTGTGACAAAATAACCAAATGAAACTACTTAAAGGAAAAATTTTGGCTCTTGATTTTTGACTGCTCAGCCTAGGACCTACTGGATCCATTGTTTGAACCTGAGGTGAGGCAGAACATCAGAGAAGTAGCAGTGTATAGTGGAACAGCCTGTAAGGCCAACAGAGGCTGTTAGTAAAAATTTGGGCGTCAGTGCCCTTAATCCCCATGTTGCATAAGGGTTAACTCTATGTAACAGCTGGTGCTTGCTGAGTCAGGTGCTGTGCTATTAACTATAGGCAGATGAGCTATGGGAAATAGGAAAGTACAACTGAGGTGAGCCCTGCTCATACTATGCTAAGCACTGGTTAAGTCTGTTGTATCTACACTGGCTTGAAGAACTGGGTTTCAATCTGTTAGATGTCCAGATATACTACAGAAGAAACATTGAATATCCCAGTGAGATTATCAGGGTTAGAAAGGCCCAGTGTCACCAGGTCTGACTGCAAAACTCAGCTTCTCCATCCTCTCAGGGGTCTTAGTAGTGGCTCTAGCAGAAAAAGGTGTCAACCCCTTCACTGAAGCTGACATCTTCATTGCCTTTGTCTAATTTCTCAGCTAGAAGTGAAGTGAAATATTAGAGGTTTGTGCCAGAAACCTCTTGGACTTCCCCTTGGTAATGTGATCATAGTTCGGGGGAATGTTCATTACTCCACTGCAGGCTCCACAACCTATGTGATAAAGTTTTCCAACACCTGATTCTGACTGAGTTCAAATCTTTCCCCACCTACACACAAACAGATCCCTCCATTACCACTGCCTACTCATCTGTGTTTCTACTAGTTCTCCAGTGAACAGTTCCCCAATTCTCAGTTGCCCTCTGGGTCTCCTTCCAGTAATCCTAATGACCAAAAACCTAACTGCTAAGAGCCTAACAGTAACCTTTTGGTGCAAAGTCCATTAAAGGCTTCGGCAGCTGTTATTTCCACCATGGTTTCTAAAGACAATTTTATAGCACTGGCTACTCAGCTTACCAACTAGGGGAGAGGGGTATTGTGCTGTATAGACAATTTGCTTACTTTTGTGTCACAGTTCAGCAAATTTATTTCTTCCTCTCCAAACTGCTACTGCACAACAATTTCCTTTTGCAAGCCACGTGGTGGGAAGTGAACACTACTACTTTGTCCCATAGACTCAAAGTTCAAGTGGACCAAAGTTTACAGAAACTCATTAGGGAAGGAATTTAAAAGATCACCTAACCAAATTACCATGATCATTTTATGTCTAGTACCCAGGAGACTGTGAATGTTTAAATTAGTTTTAACTAGTTTCACTACAAATAATCCTGTCTTAACTGAACTGTGCCATCACAAATTCAAACAACACATACAAAAATAAAGCAGCTTAGTTAAAACAGCAACACTTGGGCTGGGCTCAGTGGTAGGGTGCTGTATTTGTGTGTGGGGGCTGGAGACCGAACATGGCCTTACATTTGCTAGGCAAACCCTGTTCCACTGAGCCAAACTCTAACCCCTTGCCCTTAGATAAATAAAATCTTGTAAATGTCCCCAGTTACCACTGTAGGCACAAACCTAAGAATTGCCTATCTGGGGGTGGGCACACAGAATCAGTCACTTAACTTATGCATGCATTTAGTTACTGAGGCCCAACAACCAAGAAACCTTCCATTTGACAAAAACATCATTCCTGGGAAG